TTAAAGCTTCGTACATGGGTTCTTTGCCTTTTTTGGTTTCATTTGTCTATGCCAAGTGTGATAATATTCTTCACAGACCCTTATGGGACCATCTCTCTGCATTGTCAACGTCTACCATGCCATGGATGGTGGTAGGGGATTTCAACGCCATTGTGTCTTCAACATAGAGGAGAGGAGATTCACCCCCTAGTTTATCTACTATGCATGAGTTTATTACTTTTATTAATGCAGCGGGATTACAAGACTGTGGCTACTCTGGAACAAATTTCACATGGTGTAACAATCATGATGAAATGGCTAGAATGTGGCAGCGTATTGACAGGGTATTAATGAATGTAGAATGGGGCGAAAGATTTCAGAGTGTAGTTGTGGAGCATGCTACCAAAGGTTCTTCTGATCATTGTCCACTGTTTATCAAGAATTCTGAAGATGCAGCTCCTCGAAGGATATCCTATTTTAAATTCATGGATATGTGGGTGGAACACTTGGGCTTCCTGCCGTTGGTGCAAACTGCTTGGGGGGGGGGGTTCTTACTCTACAAATCCGATACAAAATGTGTATCTCAGGGTCAAGTATCTCAAAACCCATTTAAAAATTTGGAACAGGGAAACATTTGGTAATGTATTTGACATTATCAAGAAGCAGGAACAACTATTGTTGCAAGCAGAGATTGAAATGGAGAATCATGACTATGCAGCAAATATTTCATCAGTGGAAAGGGCAAGAATGAAGCTGGACAATGTAGTAAGAATAGAAGAAATTTTTTGGAGACAAAAAGCTAATGTGCAGTGGACTATTGAGGGGGAAAGAAATACAAGACTATGCCATGCCATAGCAAAAGGCAAGTCATCAAGAAACAAAATTCAAAGGATCAAGAATGAGGAGGGTATTTGGGTGGAGGAGGAAGCTCTAATCGTAGATTGTGCCATGGACTTCTTTTCTAGTCTTTACACTTCAGAACCCCATCATATACAGGAGGAGCTATTTTCTTTCATCCCTAAG